AGCATGCACACACCGCGTACCAGTTTTTCTGCTGGGTCCCAGGACCATTAATGAAAAAGGAGGTCAAGCCAGCGGAAAAGATGGATTGGCCTGTCATAGAATTGCCATGAGGTGTGGCAAACGTTTGGAATTACTAAAGGAAAATATTCATTTCATCGTTGATGCGATCATTCACTGACTCCCTCCATGTCTATTTATTTACTGAGTCCCTGGCTGTGCCACTTAACAGGCCCCCGCCACCACGGGGGAGTCAGGGCGCTGGTAGCGGCTGCCCGCCTGAACCTGCTTATCCTCCTCCCCATCCCATCCCATCCCGAGTCCCTCCCGCGCTGCAGGGGGCTCCTCACATCCATGTTTGGACACCCTAGCCTACCTCTGAGGCTTCCTAGGTGGTGCTAGTGGTGAAGAACCCGCTGGCCAATGCTGGAGATTGAAGAGACGTGGGTTCAGTCCCTGTGTCGGGAAGATCTCCCGGAGGAGGAAATGGCAACCCATTCCAGTATTCTGGCCTCGGAAATCCCATGAAGAGAGGAGCCTGGTGGGCCACAGTCCACGGGGCCATAGAGTCAGACACGACTGAAGCGACTTAGCACAGCAGGCCTTCACAAGAAGCTTCCGCAAACCCTAGAAGCCAGCTCGGGGCTGTTTGAGCAGGGAGTGCCGGGGTCTTAATGCCCAGAGGGCGGTATGCGCTTTGGATGAGCCTGCTTCCTTGGCTTCACTCATTCATTCCCCTGAGGGTGGGGGCAAGGGCCGAGGAGGCCGAGGGCGTGCGGGGGCTGGCCCTCAGACAGCAGCCTCGGCATCACCCGGGAGCTTAGTGGAAATGCAGAAACTCAAGCCCCTTCTCAGACCCTGGGAATCAGAATCCGCATCTTAGCAGTCCAGGTGATTCACATGCATGTTACAGTTTGAGAAACACTGCTCTAAGGGCCTGAGTGTCTAATCCCCTCTTTACAATGATGAGTCTGAGGCCGAAGAGCAGCTTGGGACTGGGCTGCTGGCGGTGTCCGAAAGTACACCTCTGGGCAGCTCATAGTCTCTAGTGGTGAATATGTGCCAAAGCAAATTGCAGAAAAATGTACCTTTTCAGTATCTCAGATTGACAGGGTCCTGGATTAAGAGATTTATAGTAAGTAATCCAAGGAAGAGAATTCTAAGTCCCAGGCAAAGTAATGAAAGGAAGGGTAGAGATAATACATCACTCAGGAAAAAACTTGAGGGAGGGTTGAAAACCTTTTTGTTTCCTATTTCATATCTGGACTCAATGCCCATGAGCTGGAGGGGATTTCCATAGCCAAAGCTAATTGTCTTTTAAAAATTCTTTATTTTTTTTCACTTCTGCATTCCTTTGGCCTTTTCTCCTTCTTTCCTTAGGATATTTTAGTTCCCAATCCTTTCTGATGCATCCATTTTAGCCCTGTTTTTCTACACTTCTCTGTATTGCTTTTCTTAAATCTTTCACTCTGCTTCAAAGAACATAAAACAAAGAGAAGTGAAAGGGACAAAGGTGAAAAATATGTTCTGGTGCCAATTTCATGCTGCTACCAATTCCAAGCTAATAAATTTAAAAAAATACATAATTTTTGATCATACATAAAAACAGAATTGCATTTCAATTTTGCAAGTACCCTTCACCCAGTTACAATTATCAACATATTGCCTGTTGTGTTTCAGCTGCTTTATTCACATTGCCATCTCTCCCCTAACTTTAATTTCCCCTTTCTTCCTCCCTCCCTCTTCTCTTTCTCTCTCCTTCCCTCTGTTTCCCCTCTCTCTCTTTTCTTCTCCATCTCCTTCTCCTCCCTGCTTCTTTCTCTTCCCCCTGCTCTCCCCCTTCCCACTTTCTCTTTCTCTGGCGTTTATTAAAGCAAATCCCAGACATCATATCATTTAACTCATTTCCTATACCATTTCCCGGAGGCAGGGAGGGCCACAAGAGAATGTAAGCTGAGGAAATGATATCTTACGATTATTTTCTTCACCAAAATATGGAATTTGTGTTACCGCGATAAGGGAAAATATAGAATTTCTCAAAACCTCTACATGATACCCCAGATGGTGCAGATTTGATTTTCCATCTCTAGGTCCTCTGCCTTGGGTCTTTGAGGGGGGTCTATGAGAACTTTTTAATCTTCCTTTACTATTCAAGTGGTAACAAAATAATAGCAATCTTGGATATTTATAAACCCCAAAGGAAGTGCATGTTATCTTCTTGTTTCAAAGAGCATTCTGAGAGCATCACTTTTGCAGTAAAAATTGGTAAGTGTGCAATTTGAAGAGAGTTTCTACGACAAGGAACCAAACACATTTCCCCCAGTGCAAACCCCCTGAGCCGACTGTTAGGATGGTTTAAAGGTGCTTTGGATCAAGACCTAGAAAAGAAAGCGTGGTGTACAGTTGCTTTCATGCTCACACACATCAGATCGAAGGAGTATCAAGTAATTTGGAGGTGTGGTTATTTTCCATGAGTAAATGTCCAACTAAATTTGAATAAAATGCTTTCTAAATAAGTCAAACAGACAGGAGCTTTGAATAAGGGAATTAATTATACATAGCGAGTGTCCTAAGGAAAAGAATCCCAATGTGGCACAGAGAATGTAATTATTGGAGGGTACATGCCAACAAATCATTCCCTAAAATATTAATGCTATCAAAGAACAGCTGGATAATGAGAGAAACTTGACCCTTGGGGGACTAGCAGAGGTTGCTGCAGAACTGTATGTAGTTGTGATGTCATGGAATTCCTCTAAATTTAACAAAAATATTATTAAGAGGTGTGGTTCTGCAAAAGTTATTAGCAGTAAACATGTCTTTGTAGTTTTATCATCTTAGCACGATCATTATATCTCACTGTTGCTGTGCTTCCACACGACTTTCTTCCTTAATTGCTCAGGATTTATACAATCCAAACAACACTCCTTAAAAAAAAAAACCTCTTTAAGTCTGGCAAGGACTTTTCTTTTTTGTAAGTAAAAACACAGTACCTAAGAAATTTCTGCAAAAACAATTTCCCATATGCTTATTTAAGTTCTTTAAGTCAAGAAAGACGGTCTCATTGTTTGTTTGTAGATAAAAGCTGGAACTTAATTGGGTTTTACTAAATAGCATATTATTGTCCCACGTAATATCTAACAGAACAATAAAGTTAAATATTTACACAGTCCTACTTAACATCTGAAATGTTGGGCATTATTTTTACATTCTCATAACTAAATGCTAATCCCTATATTTAAAGTTAGAAATCAGAAATGACTCTTTCCTTGTAATATACTTGAACTTATATTTTAAAACAGAAACCATTTCATTGAGTTACCAAAAAAAAAAAAAAGCTTCTGTGAGCCGACTGGACCCTCGCGAAGCTTTTGACCGCACACTTTCATGGCTGGTGAGCAGCAAACTTTGTCTTTTTGTTTGACTCAACTTGCCAACATCTAAATCAGTGACACGGGCATTCAGCGTTTCCTTTGACAAATAGGTCGAGATACGCGGAACATATTCACACGAACCAATAAATGATGAGAGGAAGTTCAGGATGCCGTAAAAATAAATTCTCGAGTTGAGCCCAGGTTTCACATAACGCCAGTTTCATAGGGCACTTACCCGGCTAAAGGCGCAGTGCCCCTGAAAATAGCACGCGGGGGACACATCATTTAAATATATGTGTTTCTTTGCCCGAACAGAAGTTCAGATCTGCTCAGTTATCATTAATTTTGTTCTTTTATATCCTCTGCGGGCGCGAATGGAGAAGTTGTGCTCTTTGAGGTTCTGTGAGTTGCCCTGGGCAGGCGGAGGTGACCCTCGATTTTTCACCCTGCGGCGCGAGTGTTAGGGGGACGGGGGAGAGTGCGGGTGTGTGCGCGTTTGTCAAACGTGCCGGCCCTTCTGGAGACAGTGGAAACCTAGGGGGAAATCGCAGCGCAAGTGTGGCGGGCCCTAAAAGTCATGCCATCCGCCTGGAACCCTTAGAACAGGTGTCCCAGGAACGAGGCCGGATTTGTGCAACAGGTGACAGATGATTCGACAAACCTCAGCCACCCAATTCATTTTTGATTACTCCCCTAAAATGCAAACCTCAGGTCCCCACTCGCGCGCCAACTCGCGTGGGTAGACGGAGACCCGGAGGCCTTGGCCCTCTGCGGAGTTTGCTGGACTGTGCGGGGTGTGTGTGTGTGTGTGTGTGTGTGTGTGTCTGTGCGCGGGGAGAGGGCCTGATCCCCCAGGTTTAGGGTCGATTCGAGTCCCGGGGGAGTGCCAGGGGAGGAGGCGGCCGGGAAAGGCGGAGGAGGGCGCACGAACCAGAGGGCGCGCAGGACACGCAGCCGCGCCGCGCGCGCTCGGGCGGCGCGACCCGGGAGGCGGACTCTCTCTTAACCCTCGCTGTCTCCCCCTCCCTCTTCCTTTTTAAAGGACGCCGTGGAGGCAGAGCTGTCAGCAACCCGGAGGCCGTTTGTACTTGGCCCGGCCGGGCTGACTCCCATGACAGACAGGGGCGGGGGCTGAGGGGCCGCCCGTCCCGAAGCCCCAGACGTGGGCATTTCACGTTCTGCTGCTTCGGGCTCCGCTCTGGACCCGGCGACGGCGGCGAGTCCCGGTGCTGCGCGGCCCGGGAGTTGCCAGCCCCGGACGCGATGGCTCCCGTGAGGAGTGGGGTGGGAGGTGGCCGAGGGCTGGGCGAGCCCCTCGCGCCCGGAGAGTTATGAGCGGGGCGAAGGACCGCAGCATCAGCCCGAGCCGCAGCCTCGGCGGGCGCCTCCCGCGGGCCCTGGCCAACTCGCCCCCGCGCACCATGCCGACCCCCGGCCGGCTGAGCCCGCCGCGCCGCAGCCCCTGCTTCCTCCCTGGCCCCCGCTAACCCTCAGGGGACTGGTTTTGGCCGCCCGGGCAGCTCCCCAGGCCGCTCCCCAGGAGAGGCGGAACCGCGGGGCGAGCGGAGCCCCGGCTCAGCCCTTCGCTCTCCAGCCGCGTCCCCCTCCCGGCCGCCCGGCGCGCCCGCGGCGATGGGGGCGCTGCTGGCGCTCTGCCTGCTCTTGGGCTGGCTGCGCGGGGGCCCGGCGGGCGCCCAGCAGCCCGGAGAGTACTGCCACGGCTGGGTGGACGTGCAGGGCAACTACCACGAGGGTTTCCAGTGCCCGGAGGACTTCGACACGCTGGACGCCACCATCTGCTGCGGCTCCTGCGCGCTGCGCTACTGCTGTGCCGCGGCCGACGCCAGGCTGGAGCAGGGCGGCTGCACTAACGACCGCGGCGAGCTGGAGCACCCGGGCGTCACGGCGCGTGAGTACGGGCCCAGGGCGGGGCAGACCCTGCCCGGCCGCGCGGCCGGGCTCCCGTGCGTGCCGGCCGGTGCGCGCGCAGAGAGGCGTGCCAGGCCTTCCCGGGTCTGCGCAAAGGGGACGCTAGAAAGTGGGGGTATCAAGGGAGAAGTGGGTGGTCGCGTTTCAGGTCAGGGGCGCAGTTTCTTTGCAGTCCCGATTCCCGCCACACGCGGTCTCCGCGGGTCTGCCCAGGAGCTAGTTCGCCACGGGCCGCGAGGACCGCGGGGTTTGCACCCAGTGACTCTGGGGGAGAAAGAGGGAGCCCTGGGCGCGCACGACATTTCAAAGAAGGGCTGTGGCGGCCGCGCCAGGCTGGACTTGAGTTTTCTCGGGTGGTAAGGGTGCCCTATTCTGCGCCCTGGGAGCTCTGGAAGCTTTGAGAAGTGCTGATGGCGCAGGGAACGCAACTCTTGGGGTGCGTTTATCTGTAGCCCCGCGGCGGTAAGGAACTTAAGCCACATTTGTGTGTGTGTGTGGCCGCTTGGTCTTGTTTCTAAGCCCCATTCTCACGACTTCCTTTCATTTCTCTGCATCGAATTACCCACTCCGGCCCACCCCCCATTGTCACGCTTTTCAGAAATGCCCAGGTCCTCCGGTTGGATATTTAGAAACCGGGGTCGCAGGGGCTTCCCCGCCCCCTATTCTCACGTCGGAAAACACGGGTCAAGTTTCCGCTTACTTCAGAGCTGAATAAATCACAACCCCAGCAGAGGAACTTTACACCTTAAAAAACAAAAAAAACCTTTCCACTGAATCGGAACTTCAGGGAGATCATTTAGAGCTCCAGGCGATGGTTTTACGGCCGGGGAAACCGGAGGAGCGGGGGCAGGGGGTGGGGGAAGCTGAGAGAGAGCCTCGACACCCCAGAACTCCAGAGCGGGGGTCTGAAGGGGGCCAGAGACGGTCCCCAGGCAAGGCGGGAGAGGCTGGGGGATGATTACCCGTGCTGGAGCCCCAGTCCCCCGAGACTGAGAACCCGGAGGAAAGGGGGACCCGCCTTCCTTAGAACTCCGTTAGACCTCCAGGGAATTGAACTTTGGAGGGCGAAATACCAATCTAGAGGATTGAGGAAGTGGCTTCTGGGGGAAGGATGTTCAGTGGAAAGTAGGGAACTCTAAGGCGGCCTGGCCTGTTCGGAAAATACAAACTGGCTTCAGTCACTCGCCCCCTCTGCACAGCAAGTGCCAAGCGGCTGGGTCTGCCTCCGGGACCCCATCCTGGCCTCCCGCCGTGCTCTCTGGCAGGAGAGGGGGCAGCCTCCGCACCCACTCAGGCTGGGGTCTGGCAAAGCCTCAGCACCTTCCCTTGCCAGCTTGTCATTGGGGCGAGTTACTTAACTGCGCTGGGCCTCTTGTCAACTCTAAAATGGGCATGCTGCTCTCAGAGGAGTTAGGTTGTGGAATAAACGAGTGTGTGGATGCTCAGCAAGGTGCTGAGTGAGTAGTCACTTTAGACTTGCCTTCTGCAGGGCAAGAAGTAGTAAGAGGCACTAGTAACCTTCTAGTACTTCTGCTGCTTCTACTTCTAGAAGTAGAAGTAGTGGTAACCTTCTTCTAGTAAGACGGGGCGGAGTGGGCGGCACCCGGAGCTTACACCCAGGAGCCCACAGATCTTAGGGTGGATAGTTCTCTACCACTCATTGCCTATGTGTCTTTGGGAAACTCAGCGACTCTCCAATATGTTTCCACATCTGGAAACTAGACCATATCATGCCTGCCTCACAGGGTTACATGAATCTGGAAATAAATACAAAATAGGCACACAGTAGGGTCTTAGTCAATGCAGACCTGCTTTCTTTTCCCTCTAAGCTGGAGGTTTGCATCCCAAGGCAGCTCTATCAGGCAGGGGCCACAGCTGGAGGACTGCTTGGGAGGTGCCTCTGGGTGGGAAACATTATGTCTGCCTTCTAGAGGGAGAAGGGAACTGGGGCTAACTCTGTCAAAAAGTTGCGCTTCCCGAAAGTGTGGGCCACCACCACCAAGGACCACACTGCAGTCTACTAAAGTTCAGTCTGACCTTCCCAGAATTTGAGTGGGGATCGGGAGGCAGGAGAGTATCGGCTGGAGGAGGCATCCCAAATTGTTTCTGGAAAGAAGTATCCAGACGGGACAGTTTGTGATGTGGTAGGAGACACGGGTAGTGGGGGCCTGCTATGGATTTCTTTATACTGTTCTTTCTTTAGTCTCGTAAAATCCCGGGGGGCTCACTTAACAGGTCCAGCTGTGGAGATTCTTGGATAGCAGGTGGATTTTCAGCCTTAGCGTCCTTACGCACCCCACTGTGATAAAACTCCTAAAACCTGGATTGAGAGCCATTGTTATAGTAACCAGCCCCCAAACTCATCTTTTCTCTCCGTCCAGTGCGTGGACGGGATAGAGTCTGTTCCTTCTGATTTCCAGAGGTGCAATATGATGGCTAATTGCTAACAGAGTCTGCAGTATCAGGCTGCCTCCTCCCTGCTAGGAGCGAGAATATTCCGTCGTCACAGTTTGCAGTTCAGAGGTTACCAGTAACAAGCTCTGAGAAGCCGGGCTGACCGGGGTGGCTGAATGGACCTCCCGCCTCCTCCCCGCGAGCAGCGCAGAGTTTGGGAATCTCCCGTCTGAGTGCCTGTGCCTGTTTTTGCCTTCTAGAGCCCGTCTACGTTCCCTTCCTGATTGTTGGCTCCATCTTCGTTGCCTTCATCATCCTAGGCTCTCTGGTCGCTGTTTATTGCTGCACCTGCTTGAGACCTAAGGAGCCCTCTCAGCAGCCAATCCGCTTCTCACTCCGCAGCTATCAGACGGAGACCCTCCCCATGATCCTGACTTCTGCGAACCTCAGGGCACCTTCCAGGCAGTCCAGCACGGCCACCAGCTCCAGCTCCACGGGGGGCTCCATCCGAAGGTTCTCCTTTGCCCGGGCAGAGCCAGGCTGCCTGGTTCCCTCTCCGCCCCCACCTTACACCACAGGCCACCCAATCCACTTGACCCAGCCGTCCGGCTTCCTGGTGTCACCCCAGTACTTCGCTTACCCACTCCAGCAGGAGCCCCCACTGCCCGGGAAGAGCTGTCCAGACTTCAGTTCCAGTTGACAGGCTGTGGCTGCAGATCCATCATCTGGAGCAATGGCGCACCTGTGGATGCTGCTGCCATGGCCACCAGGAATCCCAAGACAATTTCACTTGGACCAGCGACGTCATGGAGGAAAGCGTGAGGAAAACACAGCGCCTCTTAGTCTTGAGGTTCCTGGCTGCAGTCACAGAATGGCTGTGTTAAGAAAATTGCTTTCTGGCTTTGAAAGCATGGTGACTATTACATTTCAACTTATGCTACTTTTATTCAAAATATGCAGTAGTCCAACTTGAAAGCTACAAGTCAGCTGACGCTGTTATATTGGACAACTCAGCTGTCCTACATAGGCCTATCTGCTTTTTTTTCATTATAAGTTCTTTAGTGAGTGATAATACAAATATATACATAAATAAGCAAAGAAATTGTACCTGATTGTAATTATCGAAGGTTCATTTAAAAAATTAACTGCTAAGTAAACTGAAGAGACAGTGAACAGCCTGTTTATAATTTGGGGAGCAACTTAACTGGGAATAACATTAGCATTATGACAACAGTTATTTTTTAAATCAATGGCTAAATTTTGTTGGAAATATAAGAGTGTCTTCAGAACAGAAGATTTCAATAACTGCATGAGAAATTTAACATTTTAAATATTTACTTAGATATTCATTGTAACTGAGATCTTATGTAAAAGCATTTCCCCCACCTGCCCAAGGGAATATTTATTGCAGATGTTTTGTTCAGCAACATTTAGTGTTTAAATGAAAGTTGAACAGTTGGGTCTTAAAACATTTATTTGTAAAATGAGTTATGTACAAATGTAAAGATTTGTAATTTAATGTATTTACTACACTGATGGTACTAATTATTTAGTAGTCACACTGTAATTTTTTATGTTAATAATAAGCGTGGAGTTCAAAGTCCAGCTTTAACTATAATCTTCTGATATTATGTATCTTAAGTGCCACTGAGTTCCATGTCTGACGACTAAATATTTGGGCATATATCCTGCTGGATTTAGAATGAATAAAATGCTTTATGCTTTCATGGCACCTCTTTGAAAGTTTAGATTAAAGTGCTTCATTGTATCTCCTTAATAATACTCTCTGCTATTCAATAAAAGGGAACGTCTGTACCTAACACTTCGTAATTTGAAATGAAAAAAACACAATCCTACGTGAATTTTGTATTATGTTGGAAAGCTGTTTTCTACATTGGGACGCCTGAAAGCAGCCAAGGACGTGAACGTTTATAGAGACATCACCCCGTGGGCTGCAATCCTCAGATGTGTCATTTGCATAGATTTAAGAATTGGGACATTTCTCATAAGAATCTGAATTTTGGCTTCTTGTGGCATGAAGAGGGTGTGGCCCGAGGGTGCTGTTTTGCTGGGGGTAGGAGGTCCTTTTCAGGAGGTCCTTGCCTTCCACCAGGCTTGTGCCTGGTCTCCCTGGCCTGGCCCATCTGCCTCAGTTTTGCTGCCTCTTGGCTCCTTGGGTGTCCTTCGGAAACCCAGGTTTATATGGGTCCATACTGTTGTATGTCATCCTCAGTAGCTCCTGTCAAATACAGATCCTTCAGAGGTGGAATGCTGACCTAAGGAAAGTCATTTGGCCTTGACCCTTTGTTTTCTAGTTGAGGAAGCAGGTTGGAAGATGCTGTGTCTTTTTGCCCAGACTGATGGCAGGACATCTGACTTCTGGTCTCCTGCTTTCTCCTGTAACTGATCCAGGTATCCAAAGTCAGGCCAAATAATAAAGGAATAACCATAAGAAGGAAGGGAGAGACGGAGGGAGGGGGAGGCAGGAAGGAAGGAAAGAAAAGGAAGGCGCAGGAGAGGGAAGGAGGGAGAAAGGCTGAAGGTGCAAGGAGGAGCATCTGTGTGAAGCTCTGGAGTTCACTCTCACGTTAGGCTGGCTTTATTCGTGTTGGTTACCTACACGAATAAATAAAGCTAAAATAGCTCCTCTGCTATTTTAATCTTTACGGGGCTCTTATGACTCAAACAGGATTCTAAATATTTACAGGCACTAACTCCCCCCTCCGCCCCCCGCAAACAGTGCAACATGGAGGTGTTATAGTTCCTATCTTATAGATTTGGAAACCAAGGCATACAGGAGTGAAGTACCTTGCCCACGTCCCACAGCTCCTCAGACCTGGAGCCGTCTGCATAACCAGATTTCTACAGCGAGGGAACACCGGCTTTGAGGTTCCTTTGTCCCTGGGCACACAATCCACTGACAAGTGAGGCGTGAGGCTCAGGGCCTCTCTCCAGAACAGTGATTATTAACTCCGTGGGATCTAGTCAGTTTTCCTTAGAACAAATACTTTGTGTCACGCCTTTAACTGTCCCCCAGCTTTGCTGGTGGCTCAGATGGTAGAGAATCTGCCTCCAATGCAGGATATCCAGATTTGATCCCTGGATTGCGAAGATCCCCTGGAGAATGGAATGGTAACCCACTCTAGTGTTCCTGCCTGGAGAATTCTGTGGACAGAGGAGCCTGGCGGACTGCAGTCCAATCGGGTTGCAAAGAGTCGGACATGACTGAGTGACTGACGCTTTTACTTTTAACTGTCCTAAAATGAAATTCCTAGATCATATTACTCATTACACATATACTTAAAAACAATCAACATAATGTCTTAATGGTAAATAGAAAAGAGAACGAAAAGGAGAATTATTTCATAATGTAAAAGCTTCAGCAGATTTAACAGAGGACTCACAGGAGAACCTCTTCACACAGGAATAACCGAGATGTGACAGGCTCAGTCCAGACCTATGCAGGTTACAGCACTGTCCATTTACACTCCAGAGTCGCCCTGCTCTTACTGAGATTTTCTCCCAAAGTTGGATCTTCTTTTGATCTGCACCGTAGTTATATATCTGGAAAATTCAGTGTATATTTAAGGCAGTGCAGAAAATACTTACATAAAATGGGACTAGATTTTTCCACTGATAGGAATGGAGGGATATTTCAAAGTCCTGCTCATGGACATCAAGTCTTTGTTGGGCCAACTGCCTCATGTGCTGTAGGATCTCTGAAGAACAGAAGCTCTATATGTTGAAAGGTAGCTATGCAGACAGTCAGTCAGGTCAGTTGCTCAGTCATGTCCGACTCTTTGCGACCTAATGAACTGCAGCACACCAGGCCTCCCTGTCCATCACCCGGAGCCCACCCAAACCCATGTCCATCGAGTCGGTGATGTCATCCAACCATCTCATCCTCTGTCGTCCCCTTCCCCTCCTGCCCCCAATCTTCCCCAGCATCAGCATCTTTTCAAATGAGTCAGCTCTTTGCATCAGGTGGCCAAAGTATTGGAGTTTCAGCTTCAGCATCAGTCCTTCCAATGAACACCCAGGACTGATTTCCTTTAGGATGAACTGGTTGGATCTCCTTGCAGTCCAAGGGACTCTCAAGAGTCTTCTCCAACATCACAGTTCACAAGCATCAATTTTTCGGTGCTCAACTTTCTTCACAGTCCAACTCACATCCATACATGACCACTGGAAAAACCATAGCCTTGACCAGACAGACCTTTGTTGGCAAAGTAATGTCTCTGCTTTTTAATATGCTGTCTAGGTTGGTCATAACTTTCCTTTCAAGGAGTAAGCGTCTTTTAATTTCATGGCTGCAGTCACCATCTGCAGTGATTCTGGAGCCCCAAAAATAAAGTCAGCAGCCGTTTCCACTGTTTCCCCATCTATTTCCCATGAGGTGATGGGATCACATGCCATGATATTAGTTTTCTGAATGTTGAACTTTAAGACAACTTTTTCACTCTCCTCTTTCACTTTCATCAAGAGGCTCTTTAGTTCTTCCTCACTTTCTGCCATAAGGGTGGTGTCATCTGCATATCTGAGGTTATTGATATTTCTCCCGGCAATCTTGATTCCAGCTTGTGCTTCCTCCAGACCAGTGTTTCTCATGATGTACTCTGCATATAAGTTAAATAAGCAGGGTGACAATATACAGCCTTGACGTACTCCTTTTCCTATTTGGAACCAGTCTGTTGTCCAGTTCTAACTGTTGCTTCCTGACCTGCATATGGATTTCTCAAGAGGCAGGTTAGGTGGTCTGGTATTCCCATCTCTTTCAGAATTTTCCACAGTTTATTGTGATCCACACAAAGGCTTTGGCATAGTCAATAAAGCAGAAATAGATGTTTTTCTGGAACTCTCTTGCTTTTTCGATGATCCAGTAGATGCTGGCAATTTGATCTCTGGTTCCTCTGCCTTTTCTAAAACCAGCTTGAACATCTGGAAGTTCATAGTTCACATATCACTAAAGCCTGGCTTGGAGAATTTTGGGCATTACTTTGCTAGCGTGTGAGATGAGTGCAATTGTGTGGTAGTTTGAGCATTCTTTGGCATTGCCTTTCTTTGGGATTGAAATGAAAACTGACCTTTTCCAGTCCTGTGGCCACTGCTGAGTTTTCCAAATTTGCTGGCATATTGAGTGCATCACTTTCACAGCATCATCTTCCAGGATTTGAAATAGCTCCACTGGAATTCCATCACCTCCACTGGCTTTGTTCGTAGTGATGCTTCCTAAGGGCCCCTTGACTTCACATTCCAGAATGTCTGGCTCTAGGTGAGTGATCACACCATCATGATTATCTGGGTTGTGAATATCTTCTTTGTATAGTTCTTCTGTGTATTCTTGCCACCTCATCTTAATATCTTCTGCTTCTGTTAGGTCCATACCATTTCTGTCCTTTACTGAGCCCATCTTTACATGAAAAGTTCCCTTGGTATCTCTAATTTTCTTGAAGAGATCTCTAGTCTTTCCCATTCTATTGTTTTCCTCTATTTCTTTGCATTCATCACTGAGGAAGGCTTTCTTATATTTCCTTGCTATTCTTTGGAACTCTGCATTCAAATGGGTATATCTTTCCTTTTCTCATTTGCTTTTTACTTCCCTTCTTTTCACAGCTATTTGTAAGGCCTCCTCAGACAGTCATTTTGCTTTTTTGCATTTCTTTTTCTTGGGGATGGTCTTGATTCCTGTCTCCTGTACAA